TGGAGTGGGATGATGTTGTTAGATGTGCAGTGGTCGCTGATTCGTTTTAGGATCAGTTTTTCGAATAGCTTACCAATGACCGGGAGGAGTGAGATGGGGCGGTAGGAGCTTGGAAGGGTTGGGTCTTTTCCTGGTTTCCCGAACATCAGCACCGTGGCTGCTTTCCATGGTCTTGGGAAGTGTCCCTGGGTAAGGCAGGCGTTGTAGATTTGCCGCAGCCACTCAATTGCAGATTCCGGGAGCTTGCGGATTATGGTCTCGGAGATGCCGTCCTTGCCAGGTGCCGAGTTCTTCTTCTGGCCGGCAATGGTCTCGGCAATCTCTTCTGCTGTGATGGGTTCGTTGACTGGTGGGTGGGAGTCTGCGAGTCGGAGGTTGTTGATTTCTTCTGTGACGGCCTCGCGGAAGGGCTCGTCAAACAGCTGGTCCTCCAACCGGCTGCTTTCCAGTAGAGCGCTGGCGAATACCTCCGACTTCTCCGCATCCGTGAGTGGCTTGATACCCGCTTGCAGCGGGTATTTGGGCGCTGCTTTCCTACCGGTGAGGCGGTTTAGTAAGTTCCAAAACTTCTTACCGTCTCTGTAGTCCAGCGTTGCCGTGATGTTGCGCCACTCCTTCTCGCGGTGCTCCCGGATCTTTCGTCTGGTGATGGCGACCAGCCGGTTCCAGGTGGTGCGGATGACCGGGTCGTTCGTACGCTTGAGAGTGCGGTAGAGCCTTCGTTTTTCCCGGACCAGGTGCATTATGTCCGGCGGAAGTGCCGGTGGCCGCGGTGTGAAGTTCCGGGTGGGAACATTCGCCTCGATGGCCGTTTCTACGATGTCGGTGAGCTCGGAGACTCTGTGCTCGAGCTCTTGAGTGGTGGCGATGGGTTCTTGGCGTCGATCAGTGGCTCGCTGCACCTGGGCTACCAGCTCATCCCATTTTGCGTAGCTCCAGGCTCGCATCCTACGAGCCTCGGGCAGCGGGAAGCGCGAGACCTTCCCATTTGGCATGGCTCGGCCTCGGGCAGCGGGAAGCGCGGGAGTGCGGCTTTTCCGACGACCGGAAGGTGGTCGCTTGCGACGGGGGCTCCGATGGTAGCGTCTGGCAGCAGGTCATCGACCAGGTCCTCGGTGAGGATGATGTGGTCGATGATGGAGTGGCCATTATGGTTAATTAACGTCGGCTCGGTGCAACCGAGGCGTAATATGGGGTATGTATCCAGAGCCAGCTGCAAGTTCCTCCCGTTGGTGTTGGTGGCGTGGTCTCCAAAGTCGGCGTGGCGGGCATTTAGGTCACCTACAACAATGGCTGGGGGGTTTTGGGAGGCGTAGCGGAGGAAGGAGATTGGAAGGCGGTCATGGGGGCGGATGCAAATGGAATAAATATTTACCGTTTTCCCTTGCCAGATGACGGTGGCTGCGACGACGTTTTGGAGAGCGTGCTCCGGTGGGATTGCAAGCGGGCGGGACGGCAGTCTGTGGCTGATGGCAAGTGCGACTCCCCAGGACCTCTGCTCGCTGTGTTTTTGGTACGTCTGGTATTGCGGGATTTTCATTTGCCGGTGCGGAGTGCTTAGCGTTTCCTGGATGGCCAGGATGCCGACGCTCTCAGACGCGAGCAGGTTGCAGACAAGCTCCTTCTTATTCCCCCAGCTACGGACGTTGACTGTTCCTACGTTAGGTGTGCTAGCCATTAAGCTCCTCGGTTATGGTGGCGGTGGGTGGCTGGTCGACCTTATCGAAAGATATACTGATGTCCTGATTCGAACGAATCAGGTGCATCTTTAGACCGAGGTTGTGGAAGGCCACTGGGGGCATGAAGGTGCGGATGCGGGCTCGGGCCTGTCGGGAATATGTTGAGGAGTGCCACCGTCACGGTCCTGATGATGTCCTCCACTATCTTGTCTGACGGCGGGTCGTGGCACTTGATAGGATGCCGCCAGTTCGGGAGCAATGGGGGCCTTTGGGCGTGCGGGCAGCTGTGGCTGAAGGCCGCGTGGTCGCCGCCGCACTTAATCTGCTGCTCTTGCTGCTGGCACTTATTGGTGGCGCTGGTAATGTGCTCTCCCGAGCAGAGGCCACATGCAGGTTCCCGCTAGCACGGGGTGGTGGGTCCGTGGAATTGCAGGCATCTGGTGCATTGAGTTGGCTGGTCTGGGGGTGGATGTGACGCTTCGGCCCGGATAATTTCACCGAGTATCTTCAGCCCCTTCTGAAGTAGCTCGGCGATTACTATCTCCGATAAGGAGAGTACCCGCATAAGTGTTGTTGGTTTGTTTGTTTGTCTGGAGGTAATCCTCCAGACTTTGACCGTCTCGAGACCGCGTGCTTGGAGGGCGTCTTTAACGTCCTCCTCCGTGACCTCGCGGTGAACACCACGGAGTACGTTGTTTTTTTGTGGCCGGGCGCCTGGCTGTCCTGGCGTGGTGCCTGGAGGTGGAGGTTATGATGAGAGGGTGCCCAATCCTCCCCGAGAGTTTGGTGAGTCTCTCGCCGAGAGACTCGTCAGCGCTGTTAATGAAAACAGTCCGTCCCCTGATTTTTAGAGTTTCAGAATCCCTGTTAAAGTTCATCTGGAACTCAGCCGTGCATAGCATCTTCAGCATGAACCTGTGGTTAAGGTTCTCTGCTGGCAGGCCGTCGACGCGCCATTGGAAGTTGCGGGGCTTGGTTGGCGATGTAGTTGTTGCTGACGGGGTAGCCTGCTTCGGTGAGGACGGTGCTGAGGGCCTTGATAAAGGCGTGGCTGGTGGCCTTGAAAAAGGCGTGGTTGCTGCTGGCGGCCTTGATGAGGGCGTCGGCGAAGTGCATTGCCGCTTCGGCGACATGGAGGCCGATCGGAGCGGCTTCTGTGATTGCCGCGATGGGGCCATGGCAGTCTTCTTGGCCGACGGTGCGACGGTGGATGGTTGAGCTTTAGTGGCTGTGGCTGCTTTTAGGTACGAGGCCTTGATTGGTGTGAAGGTCACTTTGCTGTTGGTCTATCTGACTTATATTATGTTGCTTAAATACAGATTAGAGTAGTAGATATAAGGGGGAGGCGTACATTTAATTAAAATAACATGTGTCGTCTTATATAAAACAGGACGTACCGAATACAGAATGATATTTTAAGGGTAGGGGCTAATCGCGTCTGTGAAGTACGTCAGCGAACGGGTATTTATAGGCTGATAATTCTTACACTTATTTGTGGAGGAACTTTATATAAGACTATACATATATATCAATAATTAATAATAAAGTGGTTGGCCATTTTTATCTCGGAGTATGCTTTTATTTTATTGCTGATTGGAATGTTCTAAAAATTTAAAATTTGTACCACGATTACGATACCATTGCCAAAATTTCCGTACAAGTATCCGTTTGTTAATTAAGAGGAAAGTTGTAGGCCTAACGAATATACATATTAATTATTCAATAGATGATAACAAAATGGTCGGTCACAACACATGATAGCGAACCAAAATTGTTTTAATTATATGTTTAATCAAATTAAGTACAGTTTATAATGTAAAATAGTGAAACAAAAACTAAATATGAATTGTGCAAAGTGATTTCAAATACAACCTTGGGAACCAACCTTCACCTTGAGGCCTGAGTTCAATGGGGAGGAGTTATGTTTTTATGTTAGAATTATCTAATTATTTGTATTATCGCAAGAAGTAACCAATTTGGCAATGGAAATTAGAAATAAAATATAAATCCATGTATGTGTACATCCATCTTCAAATAGATTCTTCATGTATTATGTACTTTTAACATTGAATTTCTGTAAATTTGGTTGCCGCAGCGTCTCAAGTAGGCGTTACCAGAAGTAGATTAAAGCGCATGTAACCAATAGCAACTAGTCGAAACTTAGAGCGGGATGTGAGCTGTGGTTGATTTTAACGAAAAAGCAACACGTGAAAAGATCTGATTATAACATACTTTACGCGGTGTAGTTAATTGTGATACGAGTTCTATGATGTCGAATATGAAATACATATTGGTTACCGGTGGCGTCATTAGCGGTGTAGGCAAAGGTGTTATTTCTAGTTCCTTCGGAACTATTCTCAAATGTTGCGGCATCGAAGTGACCTCCATCAAGATCGACCCCTACATCAATCTCGATGCAGGCACATTTTCCCCATACGAGCACGGTAATTCTTGCAAAATTTATAACAATTCTCGCCTACAATATGCGTATATAACCTCAATCGTATAACGCAAGTGAACACGTGGTTATGCTTGTTGCTGTACATAAACATTGTATTTTGAAATTAATTATTTTCAATTGTCATGGTTATTGCTTTACAGGTGAGGTTTATGTGTTAGATGATGGGGGTGAAGTTGATTTGGATTTGGGGAACTATGAGAGGTTCCTTGACATTACTCTGCATAGAGACAACAACATCACCACTGGCAAAATTTATCAAATGGTCATTGATAGAGAAAGACATGGGGACTATTTGGGGAAAACAGTGCAAGGTTAGTTAGTTATACTAGAATTGTTGTCATCATTTTTTATTGAATTTTATTTATTTTTAGTTGTACCACATATTACGGATGCAATCCAAGAGTGGGTTGAAAGAGTGGCCAAAGTGCCAGTCAGTAAAACAGGTAAAACTCCAGAAGTTTGTATCATAGAACTTGGTGGTACTATTGGTGACATTGAAAGTATGGCTTTCGTTGAGGCTTTTAGGCAGTTCCAGTTCAGGGTAAAAAGGGAGAACTTTTGCACAGCTCATGTGTCTTTAGTGCCACAAGTAAGCATATCTATATATAGAATATGAAATATTTTATAATTATCTCTATTTTATATTATTATAATCTAAAAGCCAATATATAGTTGAGTTATTTATTATAATTTTAACGAAATACGAATTTTGGTATTTATTTAACTCGAGTTATATTTCAAGTCATGTTATAAAAATATATTGACCTGTAACTTTCTTTTTATAATAGAAGTGCATTAATTTTATTCTTTTTTTTTTATTTATCAGCCTCGTTCAACTGGAGAGCAGAAGACGAAACCTACACAAGCGTCTGTGCGAGAACTACGCGGTTTGGGATTATCACCCGATATAATAGTTTGCCGTTCGGAGAAAGCTATAGATCAGAGCGTTCGCAACAAAATATCCAATTTTTGTCACGTTGCACCTGAGCAGGTGATCTGTATTCAAGACCTTTCCTCGATCTACAAAGTACCAATTTTGATGGAATCACATGGCATCGTTGAGTACTTGAATGAACGGCTTCAATTGGGTATAAATCCTATGCTTCCAGCTAGGAAATTCATGAAGCAATGGATCGATCTTTCTGAGAAAATAGAAAATCTGAGAAATGAAGTCGAGATAGCTATAGTTGGAAAATACACCCGTCTAGAAGACTCTTACACCTCCGTTACGAAGGCCGTGCAGCATGCCGCCAATGCCGCTGGGTTTTCGGTAAAAATTAAGTTCATCGAAGCCTCCAACTTGGAGAACGAGATGAAGCAGGAATGTCCTGCTTCCTATCACGAGGCTTGGCATGATTTGGTGAAGACAGAGTAGGAATCCTCAACACCTAATTGCTAGTATAACTGATATATTTGTTTTTATTTTTAGAGGTGTTATCGTTCCTGGTGGTTTTGGTAAACGCGGCGTTGAGGGTAAAATAGCTGCAGCAAATTGGTGTCGTGTGAACAACAAACCGTATTTGGGAATCTGTCTAGGATTTCAAACCGCGGTAATCGAGTTTGCTCGTAATGTTTTGAAGCTAGAAGGCGCTAACACCGCGGAGTGCGAAGAAGTTTTGGAGCATCCTATTATTATAGATATGCCGGAACATAACACCGGCCAAATGGGTGGTACCATGAGGCTTGGCAAGAGATCAACGGTGTTCAAGCAATCTGCGAGCAGTAGTAAAATAAGTAAGTCTGAGGTGACATTGATTGCGATCCACCGTATTAACTTCATTTGTTTTTCTTGCAGTGAGGCTTTACAACAACAGGGATATGATCGAAGAGCGTCACAGACATAGGTACGAAGTGAACCCAAAGTATATCAAAGACTTAGAAGCTGGCGGTTTGGAATTTGTGGGCGTTGATGTCGAAGGTACCCGTATGGAGATTTTTGAACTGAAGAAGCATCCGTACTTCGTGGCCACTCAGTTCCATCCTGAGTACCTTTCGAGACCTATGACGCCCTCTCCACCCTTCATGGGTCTTATTTTGGCCGCCAAAGATAGGTTAAAACCTTATTTAATACGTGGTTGCAAGTTGTCCCCCCGCCAAGAATATGACTACGATGAAAGCGGTGAGTTTTGGGTTAACTAATACAAGGCTCCTAAATTTGTATCGTTTCACTCCTACTTTATTTATCACTAACATAGGACTGGCAACTGATAGTGAAAATTAGGGTTCGTCATTACACATATTTCTTTTTCAGTTTTTACTAAGTAAGTTTAGGAGCCTTTGATTGCTTTGAATTGTGGCTATAAAATGCTTTATCTAATTGAGATTGATTTGGAAGTATTTTACAATACGTTTATTATTATTTGAACTGTTTTTATGTAGCTAATGCGGTTGGTACTTATGCACTAAACATTAATGAGGACTGATCTGCATTCAAACATTGTACTTAGTAGTGTATTTCAAAGTAAGTTCAATACTTTATTTATACTATTTATTTATGTTTGCTTATGCTATGAAACTTGTTCATCAAATGGTTGTTCAGACTATTTATATAAAACAGAAACAAACAAAAAAATTCATTTTTTTTTTGTAGAGGATGAAGAGGTGTGTGCATCGATGGTTCAGCAATTGAATTTAGCAAGGGTACCAGAATCAGATGGTAGCAGTGCTTACAGCAGTTCATCCAGTATGCTGTGATTAATTAACAGGAGGACCGTTTTTTTGAGCAGGAGTGTTAAACTTAATTGGACAGGGAATCATTTTTTATAAAAGTATATCTCATGAGGGTCGAAGAAATTTTCTTGACTTTTAAAAAAAATTGCTGCAATAATTAGAATTGAAGAGAAGTGAAAAATAACTTCAATATTGAAAATACATTTTATTTTAAGTCGTTACAAATAATATAATATTGTGATTATGACAACTCAAGAAATAAATAATATTTTATAATATATTTTACTTTTGTTATGCCTATTGATAAAAAATATTGAGGATCCTTAACTTAGATCGATTTAACCTGCTTGTTGGGAAATACTCATTCTACGAAATAGAAGATATTGATAAATAATTTGTTGTTAAATTGTTGCTTTATATTTATCATTCTAACATTAGGATCAAGTACATCATCCAATCCTGTGAGAGGTTCCACATGATAAAATACGAGAACGTATAGAAATTTGCTTTATATTTTTCTAATGCCTTTTGAAGAACGTTGTGATCTTCGATACTTGAGGATTGGATAATTGTCTTCTTGTCGTAATGAACTGTTGATGAGATGCTCCTCTACAATGATGACAGAGGGGACTTTCGCAGGTTTTTTTTATTTTTCTTTGATCAGTATCCATTATTTCTAGGGGTTTTTCAGCTTCCTTCATATCGAATAGTATAGGGTGGAGAGTTATCATCTTCGCGCACTGCTGGTCTTCTGAGGGGGTTCATTCATTATCCTGACACTGATTGGCTGCTCACCTTACTTGGTGGAGCCATTTCACAAAGATGGTAATCCACCTGGGAAGGGGTTTAATTGTTTGTCACTTTAAACTATTTCACTACTATGGGTACGCGATTATCTGTTTTAAAGTGCGCATTTGGTTGAGACACTTCGTTCAGGCACTTAAGTATGTTTAGCTCGGGAGAGAATCATGTCCGTTCTGCGTAATTGCGCCTGTGTGCTACCATTCGGTGCGTGGTACCATCCAAGGCTATGGATTAAATCTACCTTCGAAATTGACCCATTCGAGGTTCCTCCAACTCCTCTTGTCATCAGAGTCGTAGAACCCGTCAAAGTAAAAGTCAATTAACTTGAGGCTGGCAAAATTGTGTCAGTTGGACACAGGCTTTGTGCACCACAGGAGGCAAACGCTTCAGAAGAGGAATGAACTATTGCGACAAATCGATGTAAAAAGAGCAATTACGCAAAAAGAAGCAAAATAAGAAAACAAAACTTAAATATTACCGAAGCCAATTTAGAGTCGACCATATTCTCTAATATTTCGTGCCTTGTAGGCCAGACCTTTCTTTGTAGATTTTTGCTGGCATGCACTTCACTCCTTTCTATGTCGGTTTCCATTACCACTTTCTTCCTTTTCTCTCTCAGGAAGATTATCTCTTTTAAATCATAGTGTGAAATTATTTTAAGGCTGCTGCTAAGAGATGTTTTATGAAGACTAATTGCTGTGAAGGATATCAATAATCCTCTCCATACATTGGTCAACAATTTTCCAACAGCTGTCTCAGTTTGACCTAACCAAAACCTTTCCAATCGAAGTAAGCCAAGTAGAATACTATACAGTAAAGTGGTTGTGAAATACTGTTCAGAGTATTGATACATGGAACATTCTCCTCAAAGAAGGTTTGATTACCATAGTAATCTATGTTACCCATCTGATTTTCGTTCTTTTGACTTGTAACGCATACCACCGAATTTAACACTGCAATAGCCTAGGTCAGCTTTGGGTGTGCTGTTATCCTTCAGGTCAAGGGGCTCCTCATACTTAACAAACTCCTAGGTTAGGTAGGAGCACTTCATATGTGAAGCTAATGGATTGAAGATCTTATTATCTTCCACTTTGGCGCTAACTAATTATAACAAGATAATACCCACGTTCAATTAAACACTGGTAGCCCAGTGCCCAGTTGCCCGATTAGAAAATATTCAAATGAATATGTTAAACAACATAGTTCCGTCAATTTATCCTGTTTTTTTGCGCTTGTGAATGACGAGTGGAAACAGGGAAAGCGCAGACGAGGTAGACCCAAAATCAACCAGAATATCGAAAGCAAACCAAAAAATCAAACAGCTACAACGCAACATAATACCAATGATACTCCGATATCAGAGAAGACCATATTCAAGACTCAACTAAATTTAACACTCAATATCATTGTAACTGCATTTGCAGCATTAACAAATTTAACAACACCTTTTTGGCAAATCAATTAAATCAATGACATGCAATGGTCGATCCAAGAACCAAACAAGATAAACAAACAAATCAATCTTTACAGCGTACCTAAAGGACATACCGAGAGTATTCCTCTGAGGGCACAAATCAGATCTACTTCATAAACTTCTCTGTGCTGCATTCAAACTAAGGTGCATCTCGATATTATTAAGGAGAAGATTAGGTAAGTACCAAGAGTTCACTGAACCGAAAAATTACAATAGATGCATCAATAGACACGCCATCATTTTATGGTACACACAGAACACTTTGAGTGAGCCCTAAATTGGAGCATAGTAAATGTTATATTTTTACATCTCCATAAAACTCATCATCCTCGTTCACCATTTGTTCTGAATTAAAAGCAAATTTGAATGAATTTTCACGTTGTACTATCTTTAGAACGTTACGCTCTAAATTCGTATTGTTCCGTATTGGTAAAGAATGCCTTTGCATAAGCGCAGGTATATGAAAATCGAATTCTGCTAAAACAGTACACTCTGAGTTTTCCATGTGATAAGACCAGTTTGTTGGTCAAAGATATGTTCTTCACAGGCGCCATAAAATCAACTTCTATGATTGTTGCTATATCAGAAATATAATTAATACAAATTTTCAGCAGTAACTTGCAGAATATTTAACCACCTTGAAACAGTTTATCATTGAGAATATTCGTCTGTATACGTTTTCCCAATGTAATTCTCCATATAACATACATCATCATAAATTCCATTATTAAACTATAATAAATCCCGCAAGTACAATAAAGAAGGTAATCCCCATTTATAAATTTTGAACAGTTTTTTTTTCGTTGCTTATGCAACTTGCATCCAAAACCTTAAATTTCATATTTTTTGCTGGACAAGATACCCCATACGAATGTAGCATTTATATCAAAGTTATATTAATAAATAAAATGTTACTATAAAGTCTTAATGCAATAGACAATGAACAAGATTATAATTGGAAGACGTAGGAATTTTGTAACATGAAATTTCGAAGGAATAACTCAAACTGTAAATATCATTATCAACTGTAAAACACAAAATATCGGAACATTAATTATGAAAAGAAGTTTTTGTTTTCCACATACATTTGAATACTAAAATGCGATTTATTTCGTGAAATGGCGTTTTATACTCCTATCGCATCAACAAAAAAATATTTTAAATTTTGAAAATAGATAAAGAAATAATATGAAAGTAAAGAGGAAAAAAAAAACTGAAATATTGAAAATAATTTTAATAATAATATGCTGTTGAGTTTTTGCTTCTTCTGTATGAGCCTCAGAATTTATGTGGTCTACGACAAAAATTGGTTGCGTGCTGGCTTGAGCACATGCCGGCAGGTCGGGATTTTGGCACATCTCGTTGTGATGGCATTGAAGTGACTGGTTAGCAAGAGGGTGGGAAGCTTCGACGCCTAGGCGCTCAGTAGTTTAAGCCTGTTTTAGATGAGGCTCGGGACTCGTGAGAATCCTGATTAGGGTAGTGGGTTCTACAATATTTTTCGATATATACTTCATAGTTTCAAAGGACGGATATGTTAGTCTTTCAGGGCGTCTTCAATTTTTTTCATGGTGATGGTCTTGTTGACACCCTTGAGGACGCAAGAGTGCGATGACTGGCGGAGGGGAAACATTCAGCCACTAGAATCGTATAGAATAGTAGTTGGGAACATTATTTTTTTTGCAATTCCTTTACTATTTTACCGCTGATTAGATCATATCCAGGAATTATTTCTTTATTTATAAGTATAGTAGTCTCCTTTTATTAGTATAGCTGGGTACTCATAATACTAAAATTTATTACAATATTAGTGATAATTATTTCCATATTGCTATAACTACGTCTAACTCCTCTCATATTTTTTTCTTTAAATGTTGAACAAAAATTCTTATTAATTTTGGAAATTGTTAATAAATTCAATTGTTGTACTTATTCACTGTATATTCTCAAGTGAACACTATTACTTGCAGATTCATTGAAGGGTGCTGCATATTGCATTATAGATTGCTCCACTATACCAAGCAACCTTCTTATTCTAGGCTTGGTTCTCCTACATTAGGAATAATTCTGGTCATTGTATCGGTTGTCTCTAGCGCTCTTTCCGTAACGTGGAAAGAATATTGAGCCTGTCAGACATTAGGGTTTGTCGGTTTTGAGAAAACATGATTTTTTAAGAAATTTATAAAATTCAAAAACCGCTTTCTTTCAACTAAAAAACCGGTTTTTGAGCCTAGTCTTCTTTTGTTTGGGCCATCTGTCTGAAAATAAACTGAATTTGTGACTCTGACAAATAAAAGTAAAAAGAATCCTTGAAGGATTATCTCATTGACCAACCTTCAAGTGTGTATATTCCTTTCCATCGTCATACCTAGTGGAAAGGGGGTTCAGCGCTGTTACCAATCTCTTAACGAAAAAATAAAACAGATTGGACATCATCAGCCGAGGAGATTTAAGATTAAACGTTACAAAATTGACGCCAAATATTGATAATTTATTATTAAAACATCAGGTTCATCCTTCTCACTAAAAACATTTACTTATTGCTTAGTTTATTTTATGTTACGTATGTTATATGTTTATGTTATTTGTTTCAACATGTTAAATACTATTAGCTGTTTTCTGACCATTTGCATTTCAAAATACTTTTAAATCTTTTTTTTTGCTTCCGCCTGCAACCTCCCTCTAGGAGGAGCATCTTCCATTTAGCTGCGTCCTGCCGACGCATTACGCCAATCGCAATCTGTATTGTAGTGGAAAGTTTAGAGGATAGGTGGAGTACGAATCGGGGTCCCGGCGATTCTGAAAAGATGTTGGGGGGACCTCGGAATGGTTGTTAGTGATGATTGGCTGTTATTTTATAAGGAAGTATCCGTGGTCAATACAAAATTGGCTAAAGCCTTAAAAATTTCAGGACGATTTTCCGCCAAAAGAAAGTCTATGGAAGTTGGTATGTTGATAGAAGAGATGGAGAGTAGGGTTCTTGTTCAAGCTGCTGTCGTGGCCGACCAATTTATTGTCATCTATTGTATAACTAATATGTATATTTGTTAGGGCCATGACTTTCCTCTTAATTATTACAAATCATATTTAATGTATCGATCAAATATACAAACGGATACTTGTACGTGATTATTTAGAATAACTTGTGGAATATTCCGAACGACGGTTACATATTAAATCGTATAGTTGCGTCTATTGCATCACCATTTAACAGCCTTCTGCAGCCCCTAAATATTTGGGCAGGATCATAAAACTTAGATAAAGAAACGGTTGTGTTTTCTACAAGGTCAAACCCTTACCTCCCACGCAGCCCCTTTTTGAAATGAACACATTTTTGTATTATATAATTTAGTCTTAGCTAAGGGGTTGAACAGAGAGGAAGTCTTAGCTAAGGGGTCGAATAGAGAGGAAGTCTTAGCTAAGGGGACCGAACTGAGAAGTTGGTCTTACTTGGAGAGTCCAAGGAAGAGCACTTAATTCATAAACACTAACTTAAGAGGAGAATGTAACTCTTAGTTAATAATACCTGAGATCAACTATTGTTTAGTTGACTTCTCAATA